TCAAATCCAAAGCTGGCATCAATGAGCATGAGAACCTGTAAACACAATATTCACATTTTACTGAAGCAATACCACAGTGCCTGTGATTATTTCAAAAACCACGCCTTTAAACTCTCGAGCTTCTCAGGAACCAAAATTTTGCAAAAGGTTCTGTACTTTCTTTTCATACACCTGAAAACCAACTTTGGGTTTTTATCTGAAGTATGGAACTTGGCTGCTAAAGATGTTCTAGATGCTCTAAGTATGCAGTAACATTCTTTATTATAATAAGATCTGAACAATTGTTTACCTGGTGAATCTAAAACATGCAAAACTGATTATCTTCCAAGATTTTCAGGAACATCTTAGAAAATTAATAAAACTCTTGTATCTGTGTCTTGGATACACTAATGCTGCTAAGGCCAAGTCTTTTGGTAAACGAAACCAACTTTTTTCCCTTGTTACAACTGCTGTTATACATCACTAAAATGCACTGGCACAGGGAAACAGCAGCCAAGAGTTACATGGAAATGCAAGCAAAGTTGGTTTAGGATCTTAACAATAATAAAGAACTTAAAGTATACAGGAACTGATGACAGATATTCAAGCACTGATGTAATCTCACGCCCCTAACAATAAATCCAAACAGATTCCCAGCACCACCATGTGCACACAGAATCTGAAACATCCACCAAATACAGCAGCAGAAGTATTTGTACTGTTTGGTACATCTCCTGTACTCAGTAGAAAACATGCAAGTAGAAGAATATCTAGATCAGTGTACACATGTATTTAGATATTTACATAGTTAATACTTAGACAAGGATCCAAATACCTAATCAGCTGTGAATAATATACTCCAAATCCACTTGTAAAGTAAAATTCTAAACAAATGGATCACGCACTGAATCCCCAGGATCAGTTGATGTAATCTCTTGATCCAAAAGTTGCAAGTAAATGACAACAGTGACCATGCTCCACTGAAATCAGTTATATTACTACAAGATAGATGGAGACAGATGGGGACCTCAGAGTGCATAAAAAATCCCAATTACTACACTAATACATACTTCCACTTTGAACATCAGTTGAAAACTTCTTGACTAAAAATCATTTTCAGATTTTATATGGCTTAACCAAATCCCTTAATGAGAAGTCACTGTCACCTTGGCTTGTTATAACATCTTCCACTATGAGTTTACCAGTGGAATTAGCAATGAAGCTCAGCAGCATTTCCCTTCTTTCACATCCTCCCCACCACCACACACACACTTTACTTTCCCCCACCCTCAAGATGAGGAAACTCCTGGGATTGTTCCAGAACATGAGGTCTTCAAAGAGTTCAGATCTTGTTCTCTTTGAAACCAAAGATAGTTTTGCCTTTGACAGCAAAAAATGTGCAGAGAAACGAGACACTGGTTCAGTCCAATCAAAAGTAGTATTTTCAATATAAATTATAGTAGAAATCACATTCCATTGTTAACTTACCAAATCAGCAACTTTAGCCAGATCAATCATTGTGTTAATGTCACATCCACATTCAATAATGGTCAGCCGGCGTTTTTTACCTGAAAACAGAATTAAGCATCAAAAAATGAAACAGAGGAAGCAAGCCAATTCATAGTTTTTTTTTCAAGTCACAATCCAGAAGTTCCTCCAGGGTATCTGGGACCCAGATTCTGGTCTAGCATGTAAATCATCCAACATGCATCACTGCAGAAAAGTCTGGTTTTACCTGTTTATAATTCTGCTAAAATATATCTTTTTAATTTAAAATTATCCGATCTTCTTTTACTATACCTATGCCAAATCACACATCCAAATGATTCCTTCAAAATGTCCAAAAATCATGAGAACATGAACACATCCAAGCTCTCAAAGCAAGACAAGTAAGGGAGCACAAAAGAAGCATTTCCATTTCTCCTATCTTTGTTCTCACCTGAAACAATTGTAACAGGACCCCGGATTTCAACCAGCTTTTGCCTTGTGAAGTTCTTAATGAGACACTTTATTACAGTGCTCTTCCCAACCTTGGGAGGGCCAACCACAACCACCACCACCGGAGGTGGCTCCAAAGGAGTCCGGTCAACCACGGGAATGTGATGCTTTTTAGTCTTCAGATCCTGAGTTCTGAGGAGAAAATATGTAATAAATAAATATAGGAATGTCATGGATAGTGGTATTTGCTATGTGAAAGTCTTCAGTATTTGGAAAAGCTTGAACACAAAATGGAGCACAAGCAGAGATATCAGGAACTCTCACTGAGTCTAAGGAGCTATACTGCTTTTCTATCGATTAGCACAGTGTACAGTGTAACAGAGATGCACAAAGCACCCCACTTCTGACACACACACATAGACTAGAGCATGAATGATGAACGCTAGGCAGACACACCAGTGAAAATCACAGTCTGTGCATGCCTACACGAAGCAACAAAGAAAGTCCAGGCAACCCCCACCCCTCCAGCCGCCTCTGCACGCTCTAGAGCCAGTTCCCCTCCTCACCGATGGAAAGTCCGGGCCATCCGCACCGCGGACTGCACCGTAAAGGCTTTGGGGTTTCTCTTCCGTGCATTCTCCTCTTCGCCTATTCCCAGGTCATTGAGATAACGTTTCCTTTTCTTCTCTGCCTTTGGCCCGCTATGCTTTGCACGATGCTTCTTCTTCTCTTTTTCCTCCATCTTACTCGTTCAACAGTTGTTTACAACCAGCAGGATTCGGAGTTCCTCCGTGCGACAGCGGGCGCAGCTGGCACAGAGAGAGAGCACGGTTAGCACAGGGCCGGGTACACAGCACAGCCGCTGGAGAACACCGCGAAGCACCACCGGACCCACCTCACGGGGCCCATTCACACCCCGCACGGCAGCCCCGGGCCCCGCGGGCACCGGCCAGGCCGGCAGCGCCGCGGCGGTGCGGCCGAGCGGCGGGAGCTGCCGGCACACCGCGGGCCTCACGAGCAGCCAGCACTCACCTGTGCCGGGCGTGCCGTGGGCCCCGGTCCTGCCCGGCCCGACGCTGTCCCCCCGGGTCGGTGCTGTCCCCCCGGGCCCCGTGCTGTCCCCCCGGGTCGCTGCTGTCCCCCCGGGTCGCTGCTGTCCCCCCGGGTCGGTGCTGTCCCCCCGGGCCCCGTGCTGTCCCCCCGGGTCCCGCGCTGTCCCCCCGGGTCGCTGCTGTCCCCCCGGGTCGGTGCTGTCCCCCCGGGCCCCGCGCTGTCCCCCCGGGCCCCGCGCTGTCCCCCCGGGTCGCTGCTGTCCCCCCGGGTCGCTGCTGTCCCCCCGGGCCCCGCGCTGTCCCCCGGCCCGGCCCACGTGCGCCCGCACCGGCCGCTCCGTTCCGGAGCCACCCTCCCGGAAACAGCGGCTGCGCCCGAAGTTCCGGCCGCGGCGGAGCGCTATTGCCGGCGCACACGGCGGCGGCGGTGCCCGCACGGGGAACCGGGACGGGAATCGGGACGGGAGCCGGGACGGGAGCCGGGACGGGAACCGTGAGGCGGCTCCTGTGCGCCTGTTTAGGAATAAGTGACTCTCCTGCGAGCCGTGTGGAAGCCCGCCGTAGCTGTCCGTGGGGCCGGCCCCGCAGCACCCGGAGCGGAGGAGGCGCGGGGACCTTCAGCTGCCCGCAGTACGGACTGGCAGATGCGGCCCCAGCAATTACTGTGAGAGAGAAATTAAATCAACCCTTGCCAAGGGCTGCGGGAGGACCAGCATGTCCTCCGAGAGGGTGAAAGCCGATGAAGAAAAGGCCACTTGCGGTGCAGTGAGCTCGGACGGAACCGAAGGAGGGCAGACAGCACGGGGGTTTCAGCTCTGACGCGGGGGTCACGGAGCGCTCCCGTGCCCAGCCCCGCCTGGCACCGGGTCCGCGGCCCCTTAAACCTCCGGGAACGTGACCCCACCGCCTCCCGGGCAGCCCATTCCCGTGTCTAACCACCTTTTCTGTGAGGAAATGCTTCCTGGTTTCCAACCTAAACCTCTCCTGGTGCAGCTAAACACCATGTCCTCTCCTCCTGTGGCTAACACAGCTCAGTGGGGGCGTTTTGCAGCCACAGGGACATGCCCGGGCATGCGGAGGGTGCCCAGGTGGGCAGTGAGCCATGGCTTTATCTCGGCTCTGTGCCCCGCCTGAGGGTCAGTCCCCTGAGGTGCTGGAGGTGCAGACCTGCTCCGTGCAGAGCCCTCCTGTCTGGGGTGATTCTCCTGTGGCTGAGCCAGCGAGGGGCAGGGCTGCTAACGAGGTGTCCGGGCCTGTCACCTCCCTCGGTGCTGCCGGCCGGCCCCATCCTGCCTCCCAGGCAGGGACTTCAGCCGGACTGTCACAACAGTCCTGCTGCTGGAGGAGGTGGCTGTGAAGAAAGGAATGTCATTTCAGGTTCCCACATGATGAGGACACCCTGCAGTGAATTAGCCCAGGCTGACTACAAGTGACATTGGTGAATTTGGGTCCTCACAATCTCTTTGACAAGTTATGTAGAAGAAAACACGTTTTTCAATATTTAGCATGCAAAATGCTTCCTTCTTCTATATACAGGAGCATTTAACAGCCAGTAGAAGAATAGTTCAACTACTGAACACATTTGGTTCCTGCCCCAGCTCTTCCTCAGCATCACCTGATGATATGACAGCAGAGATGCTGCTGGCACACAAGTCCAGGGGAGGCTGCTATACCATTGCTGTGGAAGTACCTCCTATGTGTTGAATAAGCATTCTCATTAAGAAGGTATTATGACGGACCGGGTATATGTAAATAAATAAGTCTAAGTGCATTTTTTTCAAAAATTTACTAAAAGAATCATAGATATAATCATAAATACAATCATCTCTTTGTCCTTCCCTCTCAAATACAATTTGTGTTCAAAGTGCCTTGCAGCTACTGTCTGAAGCCATACAGCTCCTCTGTAATACCTGAGCTTGTTCCAATCCTTTAGGCTAAGGCAGAAAAGTTACAGCCACAGATAAAAATTACTGACAAAAGTCAGGACTAATTTTCTGGACTTCTTGTGTACACACCTCCATAGACAGTTTGTTCAGGAACATAAATTTTATTAATAAAATAATGGTCTGTGGTTAGGTTTTATTCTCATTGTTTCTCTTGTTCTATAAACAAAATAACTGAGTTAATAACAAATGTATTACAATCTAAGCATACTTTAAAATATTCCAGAGCCACATTTTAAACACAAAAATAGATCTGCATGTAAAGTTTTCAGCATCCTAGGCCTAATACTTGCTTTAACACACACCCATGGCAGTTCTCAAGAGGTACACATGGAGAACCTTTCCATGATTACCATGGTCTCATGGATCCTGAGTATTCTAAAAACAGGCTCAATGTGCAAATGCAAAGATGAAATACATTTTTCTCTCCTCTGAGTGCCATTCTACAATTTCATTAAGGTAAAAAACCTTAATTTGGCAACTAGACAAGTCACAATTTAAAAAAAAAAAAAAAAAAAAAGACAATTTACAAACAAATTACCCAAAAGAAAATCACAAAATTATTGCCTTTTAAAAGACCATGGTCATTTTTGAATGAAAACACTATATATTAGGTACCCAGGAAAAGACCATTCATGTTCTATATGAGGAACAGACCTAAAATGCAAACACACCCAGTGAGATGTCCCCTGCCACCACCAAGGCTGCTTTTCCCATGCTTGTACACCTCTTGTGTTAATGCTTTCTCAACTAAAAGCTCTAAATGTCTGTTATCTAAGATTCCTTAAGTTAAAATAAGTGAATTATGACCAGAATAGAAACCAAACTCAGTACAGTAAGGCCACAGAAACACCACCATAGTGCTAAGCCTCCTGGCAGAATTAACCAGCACAGCCTGAACACAGAGAACTCCTCAGTACTGACATACTTGTGAAGATCAGTCTGTGCACGCAGGTTAATGTTAGGCTGCCCATAACCAAACGCTTGGAGGAATCCTGCAAGCAGCTGCTGAAAGATGGCTTGGGGTGGGGAGGCAGCTCAGATGCAGCAGGTAGTCCTTGCTAACATGGCTTATCTTTCTCTCCCTTCCATACAGGGCCCAAAATTCAGAGCAAGCATCTGCACTTAGACCTGCAAAACCTCTAGCCACTGCAGACAACACTGACAACCGAGAAAAAGGCAAGTGGACCCACTGCCAGTTTCATGTCTGACCCAAATGACAGACTGAATTCTGGCCACCAAAAGCAGAAAGGTAACTTTTCGTCTGACCTTGTTCCGCATTTTGCTCATTCTCAAACAGCAAATCTAACCCTATTCCCAAAATGTCATTTCTCATGCCCAGCCAGTGAGGGTCATAGTCATTTTCTGTCTCCAGCAGCTGCTGCTCATACAATGGGGCTGGAGTGGGAAGTGTTCTTTGATATCCCCCTTCATGCTTTGGAAGTACCAAAGGAGGACTAGCATTGCTAGCTGCAAGCAGAGGTGAACTGTGCCTCATCTGCTCGGGCTCAAGCTTAGGTTCCCCCCCATCAAAACTGAAAGTGGAACACTTCCCAAAGGGAGAAGTGCTTGACTTGGCATACAAACAGTTCTCAACACCCAGGCCCTGGTTAGCACTGAAGTAGTTTAAGACAGGCTTCCTGTACGTGTTCTCTTTAGCTGCTGGGTACTGGTGATCTGTACAAGGCTGGAAAACATCTGCATCTGAGTAGAAGCTTTCAGGGAAGGATTTCTTCAGGTGCGGGTACTCCTGTGCCTGCTGCACAGGGAGCGAGAACGGAGGGGCACTCCCCGCGCTTCCCGCACCTAGTGGGACCCCTCTTCCCGAACAGTCCAAACCGAAGTCCGCTGGGGTCTGACCCAGCGCTCCAAAAGCGTTATCCAAGCTCCTGAAATGCATGTCGAGCCTTGAGTACAGCTGCCCCGAGTAGAAGGGCGGCTGGCCGCCGAAGCTCTGGCTCCCTCCTGGCAGGCCCGGCTGCGGGCACAGACAGCTCCTCTCTGCCGCCGGGCCCTGCTGCGCCCGGGGCCGCTCCTGGCCAGCGCACCGCGGCGGCTTCGGCTTGCCCGGCCTGGCGTGAGCGGCGGCTTCGCTCTTCTTGGGGTTTAGCTGCCGGGCCCTCCGGTTCTGGAACCACACCTGTGGGACCGGCAGAGACTGAGCAACAGAGCCGCCGGGGAAGCCGCTCCGCCACCCGCCCGTCCTCCCTCCCGGACCGCCCCTCTCACCTGGATCCGGGACTCGGGGATGTCGGTGAGGCTGGAGAGCTGCTCCCGCAGGGCGATGCCGGGGTACGGCTCCTTCTCGAAGGCGCGGACCAGCAGCTCCAGCTGCGCCTTGCTGAAGGTGGTTCGCTTGCGCCGGCCGCCCTCCCGCCCCGAGCTGGGGCCGGCGGGGCGCGCCCGGGGCTCCCCTGCGGAGAGAGAGCGGGGAGCGGCGGTCAGCGGGGCCGGGCAGCGTCCTCCTGCCCCAACGCCGCCAACACCGCCAACACCATCACCAACACCGCCACCAACACTGCCACCAATACAGCCGCCACCAACACCGCCACCAACACCGCCACCAAGACCCCCGCCGCCCGCCTGCCCGCCCGGCGCGGCTCACCGGCGGGTCCGGGGCTGGGGGCCGGGCTGGCGGCGGGGAGGCTGGCGGGGACCAGGCTGGCGGGGAGGCTGGCGGGGGGCACACTGGCAGGGACCAGGCTGGCGGGGAGGCTGGCGGGGGGCACACTGGCAGGGACCAGACTGGCGGGGGACAGACTGGCGAGCTCCATGCGGGCCGAGGTCTGCGGGCGGTGTAACGGCGCTGGCAGCTCCGTGCCTTAAGAGCCCTCCACCCCGGCCTTTAGCGACCCCCACCCACGGGGCCCGGCCCCTCTGGGGCTCCGAGAGTGACTCACAGCCGTCTCCCACACCTCCATTGTCATCCCATCACCAAAATACACATAATGAGGGCTCGCCCCATCCAAGGAGCCAAAGTGTCTCCCAGCGAAGTGCCCGCTGCTGCCACCAACCCATCTACCTTTCTTTAATTCAAATGGAGAGCAAATAATTTAATGAAGAAATCTTCCACCTTTGGTTCAGCCCTCTGAGGGAGCTCCCCTTCTCTCTGCACTTCAGGCCTGGAGCTCTGCTGAAAATCTGTTGCTCCCCCAATGCAAGGAGGCCTCCATACCACCCTTCTCCTAAAGGCAAGCCATCCCAGCTCTTACTGCACCCAGGTGACAAGTCCTTCTCTTCCCCATTTGGTTACCCTGCTCCTATTCCCATCCCTGAGACATTTCTCATCAGCTTTACTGCAGGAAATAAAATGCTGGTGGCTTTACTAGACAGTGCATGTCCACAGCAATGAGCCCAATGTTCACAGCAAAGGACAAAGCCTCCCCCAGCACACTCAGGTTACCCAGGTCAGACAGAGCAGTCTCCCTCCAGAGTGCACGCTGAAGAACTTCCAGACAGCTCTGCTCGTCCAAGTCAGGTACAGAACAAGCAAGGTCTGTGCTATCAGCCCAAGGTGAAATTATGAACAACATATTAATTCAAACGAGTGGCCAGAAATATCATTTAAGAGAGCCAAGAATGACATAAGAGACTTACAGGGAGCAACAGTTGCAACACTGAAAAGGATTAGATGTTAGAAGAGAAACAAATCAATTCATCAAGTGTAATAGTTTGTCAAATGAGGCCACTAATGGCTATCACTGAAGGTGTTCAGGAACAGCAGCATCATTACATCATGTGTTTTTCATCTCAATTTGTCCCCATTCATTTTTCAAACTTGGGACCTACTCCAGCTTGCTGTGAATCTGAAGGGTACAGGGACAGTGTGTGAGCTGGTACACACTGTTTGCATTCTGTAGGGACCAGCATAGCCATCATCCATGTTGCCACTTCTGGGCTGAGCTGCACAAGGGTTTTAACATTACATGCACCATCACAGTGCTTCACAACAAAAAATTAATGTCCTTTCACACAGGGATGGCAGTCAGCTCCTGTGAGTCTAGTACTCCGGAGACTGGATTCCTTTAGCAGCTCAGTCCATAAGGCAAGGTAAGTGCCCACAGAAACCACTACACCTAAAGAATATTTTCCAGAAGTGCATATGTATATGAGTGCTCAGATACAATAAGAAGACTTATAAAGCTTGGGGGCATAGTTTTATTGACAGTGTTCACTCCAGCAAATTCAGCTTCAGCTGTTCTTGTTCTAAGCATGCAGGGTTCACTTCTAGCTGCCATGAAGTCCTCACAGGGCTTTGCACACAGTCCTGTACAAGCCATCTCCAGTGCACTCTGGGCTAGCAAAGCTCATGCAGCTGCTGCTTCAAAGAAAAGGCTGATTTTTTTGTTTTATTTTTTTTTTTGGCCAGTTTACTTAATACAAGCATCAGTATGGGACAGGGATGCACAGGGGCAAAGGGTAAGAGGGAATTGGGGAGCCTCAATTTGAACTGGCACAATAAAGTATGAATTGCATATGGCCTTTATATCTCTCTGTAATTCCAACACAACTGTCCATGGGGTATATGCTACACTGGATCGAGGATACCGAGGATGTTTGCTCCACATTTTCTTTCTGGATTTTTTTTTCATAGCAGAAGAGATCATCTCATGGGACTAACTACAACACAAAGCTGCCCCTGTAGGCAGCCTGCAATATTAAGCTCAAAAGAACAGGGAAACCGCCTCCTCCAGCACACACATACACACCTTACAGACACAGCCAGTGCAGAAGAGATAAGAAGGAGCCAGCAGAGGCTTGCACAGACTTGCACTGCTTGCTAACAGTGACTGTCCATCACTACTGGCTCGGCTCAAATAGAACATGCTTTTGTTAACGTCCCCTAGCATAGAGAGAGCCGTTCACACTTCCCGGAGTTATTGTTTGAGGAACTCTGCCAGGCAGCCTCTTTACACCCTTCATTTTCAGAGATTTTCTTTGCAATGCTAATTGATAGAGATTGCGAGTTTTGTTTTTAAGTCAGATTCCAGGAAAGAAGATGACAATCGTTGCCTCCCCCTCCTTTCCCCTCCTTTTCTGCTGAGGCATATGGACTTGGCCTAACATAAGAGGTAATTTCTGCCACAGCTGCAGTTTGATCATACACTAATCAAGAACAGTGACCAGCCCTTGCTGCTCGTGTTGCCTTGGCATCCTCATGCTGTTGCATGTCAATAAAAATCAAAACAACTGTTTGTGAGCTCCTGCATCTCCTCTCTGAATTCCATCAAAATAGTATTCTGACCCCTACTTTTGATTAATTTCACAAACAGAAATGGGAAGATTGTGGGAAAAGAAGCAGGAATACCCAAAGCAGCATGCTTGACAAAATCAGCATCTCTTTGCATCACAGGTTGTCTTCAGACTTCCACAAAATCCACGGAATTTTGCTATAGATTTAAGTAGAGTCCAAATGTGGAAACCCATTCTGCCAAGGTTCCTTTATGCCCTTTGTGATACAAGTGCATCTACAGAGGAATCCAAATCACGGGTGGGATATGCTGAGCATACAACAGAAATGAAGGCTAGGTAAGTAAAGTGCATTTACGAGCAACAACATAATCACTAGACAAGGACTAGCCTCAGTGCTCTTTAAAATGGCTCTCAAAAAAAGGTTTGCACCAATCCTTTGCAGGGCGCTGGAAGCAGCTCTGTTCTCTCCGTCCGGAGCAGCCCATGTCAGGAGCTGCAAGATGGCCCTAAAGTCATGCTAGCATGGATGGTGTGCTGAATCAGCCAGTGCAGCGGGGCTCTGGCACCAGGCGCCTGCCTGGGGAGTCTTAGGACAAACGCCCTTCAGAAATCCCTACATCAAACATTTTCTAGGGCAGTACAATGCTATTGATGTTTGAGTAGAACTTTCAGCCTGAAGGAGGCAAGATCAATTTCACTAGTTGGTCTTCAGACATTAACACCTCATAAAAAGGATGCTCATGCCCTGCTTATCTGGAATGCGTCTTTAATTATCTTTTGGTACACCTTTTGCAGCCCATTACTTACCAGTCAACACTGCTTTAATTATGGGCTTGGCAGTAACAGGCAGCTCTTACATCGTTGAAATAAAAATGCCAGAAAGCAACCCAGGAGAATAGCAAAGAGATTTCATGTTCAAATGGAAAACGGTGGAATTCAGCATGGATTCTCATTCACAAAGATTTCATACCAGGAGCAGTATTCTCATGGCCAGGGGCACCCAGGAACCTCCAGAGAACAAGAGCAGACAAGTAATGGTTGTGCTCTCCCTTGTTCCTCAGGGAAAGGAGCACTTCCAGCAGTCCCACTTGCTCTGAAAAGTAGTTAGGTCAGTGTCCAGACATGTCCAGTTCCATGGGGTGTCAGCAGGATAAGCAGGATGGAGACACATTTTGCACCTTGAACAAAAAGAAGGCAAAATTTATGACAGTCCTTGCTTTTCAAGAGTGTTCATCCCTCAGTCCAGAACTGGCTCTTGAGAGAGCTGTCACCTACACTGAGCTTTCCCTAACAATAAATACTTTTGTTATGCCAAAGCATTGCTCCAGACTTTTCTCCTTCCAGAAATAAATGTTGCTTCTGATGCTTGAAGGTGGAGGCAAATAATATTGCTGAAAAGACCATGCACTTTTGGGACATACCAGTCTTGCTCTAGCTCACACTGAAATCTATAGATTTCATCTATGGGTGAAAAAGGCATTAGGCCTGTTTCAGATAACTTGGAATAATATAGCATTTCAGTATTTCTTATATTTAAATAGATATAATAAATAATTTAAATAGTTTATGTGACTGATTGTAATGCTCTGAAATCCAGGGTAATAATAAAAAAACCTCTTACCTACGAGACTGAATATCTGTCTCACCTGATATTTAACTCTTCACCAATGATGAAAACTGGATACCTGCCACAAGAAGGTAGGAATCTATAACCAGCTCAGTAAATTACATACTGGTACATTTACTTGGAAATTATGATGTAGATCTAGGTCATTTTCAGCCCAGAGTTTCTATTTTGTGAATTTATTCAGTCTTTCTCTGAATGCATGTAAAATTTTAGCTTTCAGAGCATCCTCTCACTAGAACATGTTACGTGAACCAACGCTTAATTTTCTGTGTTCTGAACATGTAACCTGCTAAAATCATTTGGTGCTTGCTGCTGCCCACCCAAGAATGTGGAGTGTCCTTCACTGATTCCAGCAGTTCACACTGACCATTTTTTCATAAAACCCCTTCACTCTCTGCCTTCAGCCACCTCATTTCCAGACTGAAGAATCCCATCTTATTCATGCTAGCTGCTCCATGCCTTCCCTCATTCATGTTGTCTTTCCCAGAGCTTTTTCTCATCATGCTGTATCTTTAATGAAAAAAGAAGATAGAGTGACTCTCAGAATTTAAGATGTAGAGGAATAATGGTGTTTTAACTATTATGAAGGTAATGTGCAGGTTTTTTCCCAATGCTTTCCTCACAGGTAACATTTGCTTTGTCTTTTTGACCCTCACTGAGCTTGTATTCTCATAGAATTATCTGTAAACTCCAAAATCTCATTTCTGTATTGTAATGGTAATCTGCTGTGAAACCTGGAAACAGGTCCTTACTTGTACTGCCACTATGCTTCCTACTGGTGGGTTTTTGAATCCTGTGGCAATCTTGAAAGAAATTGTCATCCCTGTCAAAGAGAAGGCTGCCTTAAATTTTAAAGGAAGACCCTAGATAATACCAAAGCTAAAGTATTTGTAAAAATAGTATATTTTATTAAGTGGTAGCCCAGCAGTACCCAACACTGTTCATTTTTTTCTGGTAGTAGAAAAAAAGTCTTAGAAGATGGAGGTAGGATAGCTAGGAAAGTGGTGATCAGTGCCCCCAGTCTCATGCAATATAATGTCTCCTGCTCTGGTGTAGGAAAAAAAATCTGTGTTCTGTGGGACAGACGTGCCTCCCACAACCACACATAACACTGATCTGCAGTTTGGTCAGGCTGAGCCTGAGTCTGTAAAGGGTCAGGATGAACACAGGGAAGGGCGAATCAGCAGAGCAGAGCCCACACCAGTGCAGGAATGGGCTGGAGTAGGATTTCCCTGTTCAATAAGCCTAATGAATAGATTATCAGTATTCTTGACCCTGTTGAACACACAGTAGAAAAGCCATACAACCATGCAGTAGGAAATCAGTGGTCAGTAAAATCCTACCTCCAGAAACATAAAAAAATTGTGGCTAAAATACCCTCCAGAAATCCAGCCTGGGCCTACAGAGGGTTACTGAGCACAATTCAGTCTGGTGAGCCCTCACTTGCTGCAGCACTACTGAGATAAATATGATTTCCTTTAAATGTAGTGTTATTTCATGCCCAGTACAGTCTGGCTCACAGCCTACCTTATTTTATGGTAATCATTTTCCCTGCACTCTGTGCCATCTCCTTCCCTGTCTCCTTTCCTTTGTGAGAAAGCATCAGTCATCACCCCTGCTGTTTAGTAACTGCAGACAAATCCTGCGACTGATCAGCTCCAGAAGCACTACTGGACTCTTAGACCTGAGAGGATCAGACCTCTTAACTGCAGATCTTTTAGGAAAAGGACTATCTTTTTCTTGTGCTGACAGAAGACAAGCACACCAAATGATGCTATAGAAATACAACAGATCTCAACATTGTAGTCTGCTGAACTTGATTATGATAACTAGTCACCTAAAGACGAGTGAATTTGGCCTAAAGGCTAGTCTGCTGGGGTTGGAGACAAGTTGTCTGGAGTCTTCTCCTCCCAGTTTAAAGAACTATTGCTCTAACCTCCTTTGTCATCCTATTCCTCCTCAGGTCCCAAATAACATCCCCACCCATGTGGCTGTAGTGAAACATGCTTCCCACCTATCTCACCCCTCTGCTAGTGAGTGACCCCATTTCTTTGCTAGATCTA